TGAAAACGTATATGAAGGAACAGAAGTATAATGAGGACCATGATTGTACTGCCTGTCTGTCAGGCAAATAGGAAATGGATCTCTTGCAGGATGCCAGGACCCTACCTTGGCGGCATGGGAGGGCCTGGGTGACAATCCTCCCAGCTTCCGCGGGAGCTGATCCTGGGGTTGTCAAGCACCTGGGGCCTTGGAAGTCACATGAGTGTAAAGCAGGAAGCCACATCATGTGAAGAAACTTCTGGGGCATGGCCCTAATCTAGCCACGCCTGATGCTTGTTAGTCATACATATCGATCCTGCCCTCTTGTGTAATTGATTCCCTCCCAGCTGCCTTGTGTTTTCCCCTTTGTTAGCCTGGTATATACCTGTAAGTGCTCCCCAGTTCTGTCATTGTTACCTGTCTCTGCTTATTATCCTATGTTCTGCCCTAATAAAGTTCCTGGGAAGGGTTTTGCCTACAAACAGCCTGCATTCGGGTTGTGTCTTTCCTATTGGGCCTGACACTTAAAACAGTATGGATTGTATTCACTGAAAATAAGATATTTTAGAATATTAACTTTCACAGTTAAACTGCTTGTATAATTCATATAAATGATGCAACTTACGTAACGTCTGTTCACTCAAAACAGAAGATGCAAAGTTGCGATGCAAAATTAAAGAACAGAGGCAGAGCAGGGGTACATTTCCCAAAAGCATAGTTGCGGATTACACATTTGGCCTTACACATTTGGAACCATGCAACTGAATGTCTTCAGCTATTTAAGTTGCTAACGGGAGCCCCAGATCAATAGTAAAATGTTAATATATTTTGCAAATTATTATGTTTTGCAAAGTAGATGGGAGTGAGTGTTTTTGTTGCTTGGCAACAGTGAACAGTTCACTGGTGGGAACTTTTTTTTTGCGGAAAACCATAAATGTTTAAATGAATAATCAAGCCAAATATTATCTGTTGTGTTAGTTTTACCTTGCAAATGGTACTTGATGAACTGTTGTATAAAAGCAATAACATACTGGAGGTAGTGTGGTTGTAGTGCAATATATCACGGCTGTGATTATCTTTGTCACTTGGCCTGTAGCCTCGTGCCTACGAGCATCACAGCTGTGATATATTGGAGTACAACCGCAATCCTTCTCATATATTATTGCTTAAATCTGTCCATTGTTATTCATTTGCTTATCACTTTAATATAATCATTTTTGCGGTGGATAGAATCCTATGATAACTTTATCAATTTTGGTAATTAAAATGTCATGCGTTTTATATATTTTTCAAACATTACTTTTTCTTTTTAAATTTTAGTTGGAATCATCTAATTTGTGTTTGTCCCACAGCCAAACAACCACTGAAATAACGAGAGAAAATGAGAGTGTAGCAGGATGGTTATTATAAGCTTTGATGTTGTGTTGCATTATAGGTGGCATGTTGGTGCCGTGGTTAATACTGTTGCCTCCCACCTCAGGGTTTGAGTCTCCACCCTGTTCTTCACTTATCTTCATGGGGTTTTCTCTGGGTTCCCCAGTTTCCCCTTCAGTCCCCAAACATGCTTAGGTGAATTACAGCTGCCAAAATATCCCATAGATGAATGGTATGTGTGTCCTGTAAGGGGGTGGTGCCTTGGGCTGGGTCATTCCCTGCAATGTTTCTGAGATGGATGGTTTGTGTTGTTGTGTGTGTCTATAATACTTATTGGTATTTCTGCAAGAATGTCATTATTTATACAGTCATTATGAATTTTATGATCTGCTACATTAATGAGCCCGTAGCACATAAGACTTTTTATTGGCTCCTCACTAAGGTTGAATACATGTGTTAGAAACACAACACTCAACACACCTATGCAATAATTTGTAATTTGCTGTATGTTATTATCAACAGTTGTGGAGTGTAACATGTGTATCCAAAGGTGTATCCATTCAAGCTTCACAAATACAGAACTTGGGGCAGGAGTTAAACCCACAATCCTAGAATCATGAGGCTATGGAAAATATTTTCACCTCTGAATGTTTATTATCCATTAAACTGGAACACGCCAAGGAAAGCAGTGAGCACTGTGAGGCCTGAAATGCAGTTAGCAATTATCTGTTTCAGGATCAGCACAAATGAAGGTTTATCTTATGTAAATGCAGAAGGACAGACAATTACTTGTATTATCATGAATTAAGTAGAAAGCAAAGATTTTTTTGCATTACGTGCAAATGAATGCATATTGGGCTGCTCTGGTCCACAGATCCCTCTGAGATTCCAGACACACTGAGGATTTGTTTCTTCCAAATTCACAGACCCCTGAAAAGGGAAAACACACAGATACACCATTCTGTTACCTCTCCTGTAAACTGATTGCTTGTGACATAATGTAGACACAAGCCTTAGGAATTATCTACCTCATGTATGACTCATTTGACAAACACATCTACTAAATGAAGGTAATACAATATACTCTGTCACAGAAATTGCTCACAGTAGAATAATAATTCCAACAATACTGAAGATGTATTTACTTACACCTTCAATAACAAGATGTTAAAAACCCATTACCTTGTCATTTATGCTCTTTAATCCTTAGAAGTTGAGTCCTCCAGAATAGATTGGTGCCTTCTGACATGCCTGCGCTGATCAGTTTCTCCTTTAACTAGATAATAACACAACGGAATATTTCCTTGCGCATCTATTGGCAATTTGTGTCTTTCTCTGTGTTGCTCCACAAAAGAACTGAACTGACCTGCATTAACAGAAGGCTGCTGAATGCAGGATCCTTTATTTCTCCATCAGTTCTGACAGTCAGTCTCACCACTGTTTTCTTTCCTGTAAGAACTGAGCAACAGAAGAAGTCAGCACACTTGGACACATCCAGTTCCATCCAAATTTGTAATCAAATTACAAATAGTCATTTTGAAATACATGCATTCATTTAAACGTAAATGTACTGTATCAATTATTTTCAAAAAGTTACACCATGCAGATACACAGCAAATTTGCCAGTGTTAAATTAACACTGCATGGTGTTTATATAATTCTCACCAATGAGTGTTGTTGTATAGTGTTAAATTTTAATAGCTCTTATAGTGTTCAGTTGACACCATAGAATGTTAGATAACTGTAACTCCACCTCTTCCCAGGTTACAAGCCCATATAGGTGGTACACAGGTGCATAATGGGTGGCCCCAATCTGCCCTATTTTAATATGCAAACAACAACTCATATGAGGATCATAACAGCCACCCCAATTTACCAACCATCATGAGAATGACTTGGACCAAGAAGGACCTCTCAGCCTTTTCTTATCATATATCAAAGTCTTTTTCTTTCAGTGCTGGTTGTTTTTAAAAATCAGAGAATTGTGTGCTGATAAATTAAACAATGCCTTGTTTTTTGTGGATTTTTTTTTTTTTTCTGCATGTGATTTTTATATTAGCTTTGCGTTAGGGAAATGCTGTGATTGTATATATTTTGATGGTGTGTGTGGTGTATTTGTTGATTTTTGGTTGCCTGTTCTGGCCTTGGTTGGTGGGTTTTATATGTGGAAACATGTTACAAGAGTTGTGACACCCTTTGCTATGCAGCTCCTGCTACTGCCCCCTTCCCTGTAAACCAGTGATGCTGGATGTTTATTTGCATACTCAATGATGGGCGGTAGCACCGCTACATGTAGCGAAGCTATTAGTTTAACTACATTTTCTAGTAGCTTGCCTGTAGCGTCGCTGATTTCTGAATCAAATAACTTTCCACTAGTTTCTTTATTTTTTTGATCAAGTAGCGACGAAGCGTCCACAAAAGCTACAATTTCCAGGACATGTCTGAGAAAAGCAGAGGTTTCCTCTGCAGTATGATTTTGAAACGCAACAATCAGACAGAAATGAAGCATGTTCATGCGCACGCTTGTACTCTGCTTCTACTGCCTGTGTATCGAAACACGCATGCGTATGGCAGCGTCATGAGATCGATACTTCAGTTTCAATTTCTGTCCGGAATGCACTGTGGCTGTCTGTGTAAGCGCTGCTGCTGTCGATTGCTGCTCCCGGCTGTCACGTGACTCAGCGGCGCCAGGCAAGCAAACAGGCTCAGTTGCGCGCGCGCACACACACACGCACACACACGCACACACACAGTTTAATATTTACAATATTAAGCGGGAGAAAATGGATGGATGGATATTGAACTAGTGGGCCACGGAACCATTCTTGCAACAATTAAACAGCAGAGATAGTTCAGGGTTTAATCACCAGATGGCGTTTATTACTCCCGTATTACTACAACCCACACACTCGCACTGCCCACCGTGCACGTCGCCCCGTTTACTCCTCATACACACAGTGGGCGCACGCACACACACACGCACACTACGTACAACAATAAACATTAACAATTATACATGACATAACACACAGCACATTTATAATGACACAAGCGATTACTGAGAACTATTTACAAGCTGGCATCAGTCCACTGGTGCCTCCAAGCTACAGTATTTATTTGCTTTTAAACTTTGCCCAAATTTCAGTTTGGACCAGTTCATTTGCTATTATCCCAGTGATCACTCTCTGAACCATGCTTATTAATCATGGTGTTGCATGTTGTCTGTAAAAACAGTTTACAGTCGTACCTTGCCATTTCGCGCTTCGACTTTCGCGCCTTCACTCTATCGCAGTTTTTTCAAATACATTTATTCATTAAAAAGTTGATAGACATTGAAAATGATACAACGCGCTCTCTGTTGTCTATGTCAATTATCCCCAAGCCTCTGCTTCCAATCGGACACGCTGCTTTAATATCACACCTCTGTATTACAATTAAAATTACTGTACATATGGACTGTATGCCTATGTATTCGAGCACCCCCGCAAATCCTTCAACGCCAGGTGCAGCCAAATAATCAAGAAATAAAGAATCCTACTTCGTGGAAGTTCATTTAACGCGGTAGAGTCTGGAACGGATTAACCGCGATAAACGAGGGATGACTGTACATTGAAGCACATGAAAAGACAAGTCTTTCAAAAGATACCTGCAGTCAAACCTGAAACATTTTATTTTCAAGTTAAAAGAAAAGGTTACATTATTCCACGATGCAAGTGGATTTGTATTCTGAAATCACATCAAATGACTTTTCTATTAATTAGCTACACTTTGTAGCAAGGTGATATTGTCTCCCTTTAACATGATCCGCCCTGAAAAAAAGACATGGAGATCAGGAATTGGTCTGCAAAGTTAAACTGTAGATACAGATATGCACATTCTAAAATACAAATTCTTCAGTGTTCAACAGGATTCAAAAGGAAAAAAAAAAGCCACAAATTTGTTAGAGAAAACATGGATTTGTGGACATAAAACTACCACCATACAACCTAATATTTTGTATAAGAAATAGTGGTTAAATAAAAGGGTCAATATTTTAAACAATTTGCTTTTACAGGTCATGAAAAGAGCACCTACAATAAATTACAAATACTATTTTTCCAGACAGTCTGTAAATGAGTTCTTGTACTGTTTCAATGTAATGTTCTGTAAGTTTCAAGCCAACATACCACAATTTACCAAATGAATACCAACAGCAACTGATTGCATCTTAAGTCTAAATATTTGTTCACCATTCAGGCATGGCGAACTATAGAAACTTGCTGGAAAAGGAAATACAAAGGGGCTCACCATACATAAACCAAAAAGGTTTTCATTTTGTCATGTCTGTTTCAAAGTTTAACCTCATTCTAGCCATTATTTACTTGACAATGAAAATACCCACCAAGAGGTTTCCGGTTCTTGGTTTTCATGTGGACCTCTTCTGCATCATCCAGCACCAGGTTCATATATTCATCAAATCCCTGTTTAATAAAATAGGGACAAATTAAAGCTGTGTTGACAAAGCAAATGAAGTAGCAAACCTTAAATAATTCCAAGGCTGACAAATAATTGTAAAAATGTTTATATATAGAGATCAAACAAGATAATATGTACCTAGTTTTGATTTTATACATCTCACCAGCCATGAGAAATTCACCATACTGGAAGGTCAAGAATTGTGTGGTGGTGCTCCTGGAAGCAGTTTCAAGAAAAATCTGACTAAATGGTGAGTGAAAACAGGTCTACTTACTATTATGCATCCCTCTATCCGCATGTTGACTTGCTCATAAAGCCATACCTGGATTCTAGAACGCTAGAGACAAACACAAAACCTATTGTAGGATTATTTTTGAGTGTATGCAAAAACTCAGCCAACAACCCTGTATACCAAGAAGCATAGAAGCTTTAGCCACACTAAAGAGTAATAGGAATATTTTTAAACTTGATCAAAATAAAATTCAAATCACCAACAAATCAGATGCAAATGTTTTACTGAATACTCAAGCATAATGTTTCAAATGGAAACTAAACTTCACTAGTGATGCCTACAACGAACAACGTATAGGCAGCAGGGCCACAAGCATGCTAATAAATTAAAGAGTTAACAGTTGGTGGCGCCACTGCAGTAACATACAAATACCAAGCGTACCTAAATAAGATGTTTAACGAATAAATGTATAGGAAACTGAATAAAAATTCCAATAGTCATACGATAAAAACTAAAACCCATTAGATGTTTTCGACTATATAGACCAGGGGTGCCCCACTCCAGTCCTGGAGGGCCAGAGCCCTGCACATTTTTGGGTTTCCCCTCATTTAACACACCTGATTCAACTCCTTGTGCTAATTACCACATAGCCCTTGAGCTGAATCGTCTATGGTGGAACAGGGAAAGAACTGAGCTAAAAAGGGCTCCGGCCCTCCAGGACTGGAGTTGGGCACCCCTGATATAGACTAAGTGCGGAATTTAACATCGTTTATACACAAACGACTAACCATAGAATTCAGTCCTGCAATGGATAAAAGTTACATGTACTGACTATAAGTTCCTCTTTAAAAGTTCTCCTTCAGTATCTATTTACAATTCATTATACACAGATATAGAGAAAAAAAAAACACGGCAAACGATTTTGAGGGTGGAATGGATGTGAATATCACGAATACTTACGTTCTGGAGGTACCTGAAAATGAGATTCTGAAAAATTCGGTTAAGAAATGAACTGCCTTACGGAATTTAGAAGCGCCATAATCGCGTCAGATCAGAAAAACACAAGCAGCTTTCTGAGTATCATAATATGAATTTAACAGTGTACCTGTTTTTTCAGATATTAGCGAACCACACATTACCGTGGTATCTAAATAACAGAAAATCATTACGTCGTTAACCGTTTACTTTTTACAAAGCTACCTATCTAAAAGCAAATTTAACAGTGCCTTTCATACAGTCTCACACTAAAGAAAACATTACAACCACTTTATAAGGATACGATTGGCTGAACCATAACCTTCTGAACCTTTTGTCCCTGGCCTCTGTACGCCATCCTGCAAAACGACTGTCTTTAGACGCCTCTAGAAATTTAATTTACCACAATAGTTAACAACGAAAACCTCACGTTGTCACTGGCCAAACTGCAATGGCGCGCTTCCGGTACCACAAAGCACTATGGGAATGCATTAATTTGCCTCCCGCAAAAACTCTAGCGCCACCGATTGGTGACATTAGATCGTTCTGAGACAAACTTGAGTTGTTTTACAAGCTAAGGAGTACTTATACAGGGTTAAAATACTAAAAAAAAAACAAAATTTTGTCGTGTGCACATGCTATTTGATCTCGTTGTACTAGTGTAAGCACAACTAAACAGCAAAAAAGTTACATTGTGACTAAATCTTGAATTTTGCGTTTAACGAAATTTTCAGGTTACTTGATAGTCCAAGTAGTTAGTACCCACTGTACTTACAGGTTGCAACTGCAAATAATTATATTTGAGTCACAAATTTACCACATTAGTTGGGTTTTTAAAAATAAAAAAGACACGGTGTTGTGCTCTAAACTGCCCCCTGCCATGGATTGCTCATTTTAAAGGCAAAGTCACTTCGCCTCTCCTGCGTAGCAGAAGTGACCAATCGCTCAAAAATTTTTCTTCCCTTAAGCAGGCTAAAAAAATAAACTCACATTACTTGTTTACTATGGTCTTTTACAATCAAACCTTATATTAAGACTAACAACCTCCTACTGTATAAAACGTTGCAAATGTGACAGTAACAACCTTTCGTTTGTGGAAATACATTCGCCTTCTGTCACAAGAAGCGATTAATTTACTTGAATAATATTTTTGACATTCTGCTTAAATATTTTTGCTATTCTGTCTTCTTTTTTTATATAACGCAGCGATTAACTTAATTAATACTCGGTACCATATCACACTTGGAAATGACTGGACATTTGAACCAAACACCAAATATTCACTACTCACTGTTACCCCACCGAGGTGAAATCAGTTTTAGGTTGGATATTCGACGGATATTCAGATCCACACTCTCCAGACTTAACTGCGGTGTTTCACTCACACTTGACTGCATAAGGCGGTCGAAAGATTCCACAGCCTCGGAGACACTCGCGCACCGCTGACTTAGGGACCGTCAACGAATTACTGTCAGAATAATAAAATACTGATTGCTTGCAATAACTTCAATACAATGGGATCCAGTATCTCCAAAATGGGTGCATATTCTACAACTACCTGACATACACAGGACACAGTGAATGTTACTTATTTTTAACACTTTGTTGTACTTTAAATGATCATTTTAAAATGAAAAAGTGGGTAAATAGATTTCTTTCAATAGCTTCTAGGCAATGGGAGCTTATGACGCCTAAATGGGTGCAAATTATGCTACTACCTGTGCACTATATGACACAGCAACTTTCATTCGATTTTAACCCTTTGTTTAATTGATATGATTTTTTTTTCTCTAAAATTAGGCCTTTTTTCAATAGCTCCTAGGCCATGGGAGCCTGCGACCTAAAACCATGTGCCAATTGTAGTCCTACACAGCGCATGTGAGCGGAGTGGATCGGAGCGTGAGCGAGGAGCGCAGCGGTTTTTTAATTAAGGCTGGAGCGGTCGCTCTGTCTCGCTCCAATTTCGCTCCGATACCGCTCACACTACGACTCTGAGGCGTGCGCAGATGTTCCCAGAATTCATCTATACAATTATCAAGATTTAGATCCGCTTTGGAATCTAAAAAGAGCTTTCTCGGAAACATGAGTGTACTAAGCGAACACCAGAGCAAAACGTGAGCAAGTTTTATATGGTTGTAGCATATCAAGTCTATAAAGTAAATAAAAGTATAAAGCCTATAATTTGGTAATCAAATAAATTAGTTTGTCATTCAAATTGGGTCAAATAGGATTTTTTTAATTCACGTAACGCTGTCAGTAAAATTTTATTTTATAGAGAGACGCAGCAGCAGCATCAACAGAAAATAACTGAGGAATTTAAAACGTGGATGCGCTTAGCCTGTATATTCTTTAGGCTATTAAGCCCACTGATTCCTTTATTTTTAAGTCTATTTTGTGTGGAATGCCATTGCCAAACCTGTCCATTGTTGCCTATATGTTGTTTAAAAATAAATCTTTTCTGTTCTGAGTGCCGTTGCTCACATTTCTTTATGATATAAGGCATCGGTTTAAGGTGATATTTGTTAGGCATGCAGATTATTTGTCCCTCTTTTAAATTGGAGCGAGCGTGGAGCGATTTGACTGGAGCGGGAGGAAATTTTAGTGGAGCGAGGAGCGGTGTTGAGCGGAGCCAACAGCCTCGTGAGCGAGGAGCGGAAATTCTCACCGCTCCACTCCGCTCACATGCTCTGGTCCTACACGAGGCCTATAGGAAAACCAAAAACCCGCAACCTCTAAAATTTGCCTTTTTTTTCCAATAGCACCTAGGCGGTAGGAGCCTGTAACCCAAAACCTGGTGCCAATTGTAATACTACCTCAGCCCTATAGGACACAGCACCTTTTGTTTGTATCACTTCAAGCACTGTATATGTATTTTTATTGTGAAATTGTGTCACCCTAATGATGTTCGACTATATAACACCTCTAAGAAATTTTCGGAAAGTTACGGTCACATCCCACACCTCCCGTAGTCAGACGACTAATTAGTGACTGCACCTGTCCCGCTGCCTTTAATACCCGGATCGCCCCCACATTCTATGTCAGGTATTGTTGTTTTCATGCGACATACTGAGCTTTCATTTTTTATTCTGTGTTCTCAGCATCTCCTGTGCCTTACCTTCCTTTATAGCTCCCGTACACACAACACAGCTAACAACCTACATTGCAAGTCGTCCAGTCATGACATCACCCTGCCCGTCGTCAACTATCTAAAACTGAGATACCAACCAGGGGTGAGTTTCCCGAAGCCTTCTTAACGATACGTCGTTCGTTAGTTCAATCTTTTAACACAGAACTTAAGAACAACGTAGCGTTAAGAACGCTTCGGGAAACTCACCCAGAGCATGTGAGCGGAGTGGAGCGGCGAGAATTTCCGCTCCTTGCTCACGAGGCTGTTGGCTCCGCCCGCTCCTCCGCTCTAATTCGCACTAAGCCGCTCCGCTCAAAACCGCTCTTAGCTCCACTAAAATTTCCTCCCGCTCCAGTCAAATTGCTCCACGCTCGCTCCAATTTAAAAGAGGGACAAATAATCTGCATGCATAACAAATGTCACCGTAAAACGAAGCCTTATATCATAAAGAAATATGAGCAACGGCAACATTGCCACTCAGAACAGAAAATATTTATTTTTAAGCAACATATAGGCAACAACGGACAGGTTTGGCAATGGCATTCCACACAAAAATAGGCTTAAAAATAAAGGAATCAGTGGGCTTAATAGCCTAAAGAATATACAAGCTAAGCATCAACGTTTTAAATTCCTCAATTTTTTCTGTTGATGCTGCTGCTGCGTCTCTCTATAAAATAACATTTCATGGACAGCGTTACGTGAAATTTAAAAAATCATATTAGACCTATTTTGAATGACAAAACGAATTTATTTGATTATGAATATTTACTTTATAGGCTTTTATACTTTAATTTACTTTATAGACTTGATATGCTACAACCACATACACATTACTCACGATTTGCTCTGGCTTCTGCCTGTTCGCGTAGCACACTCTCATGTTTCTGAGAAAAGTGATTCCAAAGTGAATCTTTACTCACTGAAACAGTTTCACCACATTGTTGTTCTTGCTCTACATTATTGTCATCTATACGTTTGATAAGAATAGTACACTTGCATGATTTATCAGTTTCCTTTGTGAAATACTTTGCGAATTCCATCTCGGCCAATTTGTGTAACACTCTTGAAAATTGTACAGATGAATTCTGGGTAGATTTGGGCACGCCTCAGAATCGTAGTGTGAGCGGTATCTATGGGTTGATATTTGTGCCACTAGAAACAGAATATGAATTTTGTATATTTGAATCTGCAGTCATCCGCATTTCAAAACTGAATCTGAATTTAATAATTTGAATCTGAATTCCAGTAACTTGAAATAGCATTTATCCTACCTCGAAAAATTCAGTTCGCAAATTCAATTTCAATCTAGTGTGACACACATCCGGGTCCTTGAGGAAAAGTAATCGACCGCAGACTCACAACGCAACTCATTTCCACGTTTACGACAGTTCTGCAGGTCGGGGTAAAGAGGAGGCGTGTATCGGGGTGTCGCAAGCGCAAATGCGGGATCATATACGTAATAAAAATTAAGCAGTATCGGCACTGCTATATTTTAATCTTTATCGTACCGTCACTTCTCACAAGTTGCCAGTACTCTGCAACTCAGAGACAAGCGTCACGCGAGAGTGGCGGGGCACCGCGCGCAATACCTAGTGTTGTTGAGGCCCTTCTGTTGTTCCCAACACCCCCGCCGCCGTTCTCACTGTCAATACAGTAGCGACACATTTTTTCTCCACTTCGAGCACTGCTTATACAGTTCACCATATTAAATGCCAGTCCAACTGATGCTTCCGGTTATTAGCACAGTACACAGAGAGCGCTGTAGACATGCAGCAGACCAGACGCATAGCACCTGAAACCCGCTTTATAACTTTACATTTAGATCGATACAGGGGTATGTGTATCGATGCACTCGTGTTGTGTTTTTTTCTTCCTCGCAATATCAGGAGTCAGGAGCAGCTTGTGTAGATCTTCATAGTCAGCCTTTATTGCCACAGTGAGGTTAAAGCCAAGGCTGGACACCCTGCAGGAGTATGTCCAATACTGTTTTACACTATTTTTTATACATTTTCTTATCGTGTAACAATATCTCGTCGCTTAAGCATCATCATTTCTTCAACCATTCACCATCGTTGTTTTCTCCCTTGATCCACACCCCTAGATGATGTTTGTCAATCATCTCTTTTACTATTTGGTCCCTCGGCTGAACATAATGGCGGCATGATCATCTCTAGTTGTGTTTTTTTAAATACCCAGCCGTGAATTTTTGCGAAATCCTTCCTTCAGTAGCAAACCTTGCATCGGTCTTTGTCAGTCACGTGTCTGCACTGTCTAACACGCCCCCATTCGCCATTTTTAGTGTATCGCGGATGTAAACACATTTGCTTATTATTTCATATTCAGTGTTTTTTCTCCACAAAAATGTAATGTTTTATGTAATCAGTTATAGGCAATTTTCATTACCAAAACACACTAGTAATGTAGGTGTCTAAGAAAGGAAAAGAGTTAAGAACACAAAAATGTCATTGCATGGACATAACTTTATTGGTCATATTTACATTCTCTATGCACTATGAAGTGCTAAATAATATTCCATACTCACATAAAATTAATACTGATTTAATTCCGCCTCATATCGGCGAGATGAATATTTAAAAAAATATTTAGCATAAACACTGCTAGAAAGCCACATGAGATGAACAGGCGAGCCATAACTTAAACTAAACTAGAAGTAAAATTCATATCCCTAGCTAGTTTTGCGTTAGTCTACCATATTAACATAAATTAGCACTGCCAGAAATCGTTCATTTAACCACATATACTACCATATACTAACCACACGTATGGTTAATGTTTATGCTATCGCGTGTGTATATAAAGCTTATTCTCATATGTATCATAACTGCAGATTCAAATATACAAAATTCATATTCAGTTTCTAGGGGCACTAATATCAGCCCATAGGTATCGGAGCAAAATTGGAGCGAGGCAGAGCGACCGCTTCAGCCTTAATTAAAAAACCGCTCCGCGCTCTGACTAAATTCCGGCCGCTCCGCTCCTCGCTCACGCTCACGCTCCATTCCGCTCACATGCTCTGATACCAACCGTACACTGTGAGCAGTGTCAGGTCCAGCAAATATCTCCAGTCCAAGGTCTGCTTAAAATCCGCCCAACGGAAGCTGGAACTAGCCCAATAAGAAATCCCAGTATGCTGTATCTCAAAGAAATAAACTAGTATTTTCCGTGCTGATCACATTCAAATGTTCAACATTTTTAAACCACAGTTAAACACAATGACGTCACGGAGACGGACGCACTTTTCCCAGGGTTGCCAATTTTGGTCAGCTGGCTGGAATGAGATATTCAATTCGGGATAAATCTGCACACACATGCATATGCTTTTACATGTATGTAATGGTTTTATTACCGTGTAAATGGTCTGCAAAGTATCCACCGCTTGTAATGAAGCTAATAGTAGGTTTATATAGGAATAATATAGATTTGCCGTAAGATTTTTTGCGTGAGAGTCTGACGGCGTGAGTGTCACGCCAGATGCGTGAGAATTGGCAGCCTTCCTTTCCTTGTCTGTTTCTGACTTTGGATGGGTAGCGATTCAGTATTACTCAGCATTAGGAGCCACTTGCAATCACAATATACTTATTTTTCCTGTTACAGTCGGCTGTCGCGAAACATTTTGGAAAGTAACCCAAAAACCCGCAACCTAATATTTACCCGCAACTGTATTTTCAAAGTAGCCCAATAAGGCGTTACAACCCCGGACCTGGCAACTTTGACCGCGAGGACTAACAAGTGCTCCGTATTTCTGCAGCTGACATTATTTTGAGCTGCACCCCCCAGCCCAGTTCAAAATAATTTCTGCAGCATTTGCACAAACTAGGTTTGTACTGTCGCGTTTGAATGAAAACGTTATGTCATATTTGTAACGTTTTACAGGAAGTTGTTAATCTTAACGTTTGTTTGTAAAATACCGTAATAAACAAGAATTGTGAGTTTTTTAAGTGTGCTTAATGCAAGAAAAATGCAGTTACGGCGAGCGAGCGCTGGTGCTGCACAAGAGGAATCGAAGCGACTGAGCGATAAGGTGCGGGCAGGCAGTAATTCATAATAGCAATAGATTGATCAACATTGTGTTACAGCCTTATTCCCTTTTTTGCGCGCTGTAACATCACTAATACATTTTCTGAATTTACTACATCAAAGAACAAATTTTCTACAACTCGAGGCCAAAACCAAACGTTTTTATTTACAGCAGAAGCTCAATGTGGGTATCAGCATATTGAAACAGCATTTATTCCCTGAGAAGCACCTTATATTTAAGTGCGGGGGGTGGTGTTTTTACTTAATTTTAAAAGCAAGTTTTATTAATACATCAGTAATTAGATTCCGTTGTAAATGACAAAGATGACCCTTAATTATTCAAGTAACTTTATACAAAAATTAAACACCATTAACAGAAGTTATTTGTCTATTGCAAGATTTAATTGATGGGTCTGTAGCTATATATTTCTAAACCGTCTGCAGGCAGCTTAATAGTTAATACTACGTCTCCCTGTAAGTCAATTCACAGCCCTTCATAACGCTATTTAATATATGTAAGTTTTTCTAGAGCTAGTCTTCATACTGAGAAGCCTACAGCATACACTTATACGTTCTTGGAAGATGTCAAACATGTATGGACACCTGCAAAAATCCCAGTGTTTCATGTGTGTCCAGGTTACCGTCATTTTTAAAATGGAACCAAGATTTCCAGACATAGTCCTGAATGTTCCTCAGTGGTGGCTTTGAGGTCTATAAAATGTAAGTTAAATATTCACATATTAAATTCTATTAGAGTAGGCTCTGTAAAAATAACATATGACAACTTGCCTGTAGCAAAAATTCCAGGCAATACAAAACCCGAAACCCATTCTAAAAACTACAGGTAAGCTCCATACTTATGAAACCTCATCAAAAAAAAAAACATGATTCTAAAGGTTAACTTAGTCTGAAATACTGGAAGAAATTGGACTTAAGTATAGGCCACACACACACACACTCGGCATGGTTTCTTTAAATCCTGCTTAACTAGAGCATAATTGTTCTGTGATGACCAAATATAAGAAACCAGAGGAAATGTGGATGAATATGGCCATATTCAACCAAAATGGTGAGGCTTGTATTTAGCTTCCATATTTAAATGGTGACGATAGCTACTAAACCCAAAACAGAAAAATACAGTAAAATACACAATTCCCTCTGGGAACATGAAAAGCACATTTAAATGTTAAATATAAAGAAACTATACATGTATTGGGTACTATGTGAAGTTACCATTCATTTAAAAAAATAAAATAATCAGGTGCTAAGAGGGAAAAAATTGCAAATTCATCAAGCAGAACAGACATTATGGTGTTGACATAGGAGTTGCACCTTATATCCTGACTTGTTTAATTTACAAAAAAGTTGGAGGCTGAGGAACAATAAAAATATTTTAACTGTCAATCATTTCTGAAAGTTCCAACAGGAGGTCATCCTCGCCCTTGCCAGGGTCTAGTTCCATCTCATCTTCTAGACGGTCATCGGTGAATTCATTCATCAGCTCATCAAAGTCATCCACTGCAGAGCTAGAAGCACGTGCAGACACTGTGCTTAGACGACGGGCTTTACCATGGCTAGGTGTCTTGCATATAGCAAAGGTGCTGAAAGTGTGACAAAATCACAAGTGTGAGCAGATACAGAATGAGAGATCAAAAGCTTCAACACATGAATTAGACCACTGTAGCAAAGATTCCCTTCTGAATTGCTTAGTAAGTTTACCTCTTAGATGTGTCTTTAGTTGGTGATACAGCAGGTTCATAAGTGGTTCCTCTCTGGTCTGTGATGGAGACTACCTGAGGCTGCAGTCTGGAGGATTCTTCAAGATCTAATGCTAAGTCACCAGGACCTTGCACCGAGTATTCCATAACCAAGGACTTAAGGACCTGAGAGCTCCCTTGTACATTTGTGTCCAAAGTTCCTGTGGATGCTGACATCTACAAAAAGATTAAAAAAATAACCAATTTAGATTCTTTAAAGCCAATTCATGCTTCACATTTCCATGAGTGCTTTCGGTTGCAGATGAAGGGATTAGACAAATGTCATCAGGGGTTGGCTGCAGACGCCTGCAGTCGGTACATGTGCAGCCCAGGGGCCGGTTGCACAAAACTCCTTAAGTTTTCCCCTTAAGTATGACACTTAAGGTTTAATTTCTCCTTAGCTAAGGGATTTATTTAAGGGTGTTGCACAGAACCCCTTAAAAGGTTTCCTTAGTTAAGGAAAAACATTAAGGGATTTACAACATTGAAAGACGTTTTACAGCAGTAAAATTGTCCCGTTTCCATGGAGACCGTTCATATCTTTGCACTCGCGCTTACTTGTGATACCTGTTATCGCCTCACAAAGTAAAGTTACTCACAAAGTAAGAAAAAAAATGGAAGAAAAGAAGACAAGAAAGCCAAATTGGTCAGAGGAGGAAAAGATAATACTTTTGGAAGAATTCAATAAAAGAAAGAACATACTAAAAAGTAAATTTGATCCGCAAATAACAGCAAACAGAAAACAAAGAATGTGGGAGGAAATTGTAATGAAAATTAATTCAAGAAGTCTGGTGAAAAGGTCCATACAAGAGGTGCAAAAAAAATACGACAACTTATCTGTTCTGGCCAAAAGAGAGATCACTAAATACAGGAGAGAATGTAACAAAACTGGTAAGAACTCCATCTTACTAGTTGACGTTAACTTACAACTTCGGATAGGTTAAATGACTAACATGACTTGAGGGAACTGTTAATGTTAGTCTTTATTGCTGTACATAAGTTGCTCATCTTCTTTCAACAAGTTATTACACATTAAAATATTTAAGGTATAGATATAAAGTAGACTGTAATGGTTCTATAACGTTATATGCTATGGTTAGTTAGCAAGCTAGGCTGAACGTGAAACAGGCTTAACGTTCTTTGGTAAAAATCATTACCAGAATTTATTCTATACAAAATGTCATTTTGAAGGTGGAGGTCCACCTCCAAAACCTCTTTCAAATGAGGCAGCGATGGTAGCGGACATAATTGGTCGTGACTCACCTACAGTGGTTGGAATAACTGGCGGAGGGGAGAGCTGTGGTCATTTGGAAGGGTAACATTCTTCAGGTTAAGCCTAATTAATGACATTAGGGTTAATGTCATGACTATATATTTAACTAGTAAAACCTTGTTCAGTGAGCCAGATGAGTTAATGACGGAAGAATATGACGTTGCGGCTGCAAGTACATCGATTGTCATGCCTCGCAGCCCAGCTAACCCTCCAAAGACACCGGGGGTGTCAAGGTAAGTTTTTGGTACGCCGTGCTACCTTTTCCCGGATCAATTACACAGAAAAAATACAGCACTAAATTTCGATCCAATCATACTGTATAATAAGCATTTTCAGTCTCTCACAGTATTCAATTATATTTCTTATCGCAGTGCAGTTAAAGTTTATACTTAATAAAAAAAAAATTGCAAGTTATGTGTCACGATCGTCGGTAGGCGAACGAGCAAGCAAGGGAGTGGAGCCAGGAAGTCGGGTAAAACGGGGATTTAATAGGGAAACAGGCAACAACACGGGGTAGAACGACAGCAAACATCAATGACAAGTCTGGGGAAGACTGACTCTGACGAGGACTAGCATAAAACCGCAGAGCGATCATTAATTGCAACGCAGCTGGGAGAGCACAGCTTCGGTTTGTGGAGTGATCCAACTGTAGACGGTCGGACAAATCATAAATTGACTGCAGGTCAAATTTATACAGCAAAATCAATTGCTCGTCATTGAGCGTATCTAAGGGATTCTCCCGGTCACGGAACACTCTTTTTGCTATGCGTTCATTTTCGTTATCTATTAGCATAAACTCCGCCATCTCGCAGTTAAGGTAAGGTTAGAGGTACCTTAATTTTTTTTCCTTAGTTTGGTTGCTAAGGTGTTTTGTGCAACCGTTAAGGGATTCCTTAAATATAAGACCAAGATAAGGAGAAAAACTTAAATACTTAAGAGAAAAAATTAAGGAAACCTTAAGGGGGAGACTTAAGGGCGTTTTGTGCAACCGACTTTATTTTAAGGAGACCTTAACTCGGACTTTAAGGAAAATCTTAACTTAAGGAGTTTTGTGCAACCGGCCCCAGATTTTTATGTGTAGCGGAAGCCTTGCACATTTGTACGCATCGACCGTGCATCAGCATAACTTCATAGGCATTTGCAGTAGGTGGCAGCATGAACTTTCACAAATCAGCGGTCAATGATGAAAGAGTAGAGGAAGAATAGTTGTAGAGATCAAAGTGAGCAACTGTATGAGAATGGTCGGAGCTACCCGCATATCGATTTTTTCATACTGTTCAGAAAGGTATAGTATACTGTATTTTAAAAAGCAGCATTATTCCAGCATTTTGAAATCTTGGCTATAAAATTCACTAAGCACGGGGGTGGGGGAATCTTGTCATAAGAATTTTAAAATACTGTGGTATTCTTATTGTAATACTGCCCAAGCCTTGTGAAATAACTTTAAATCTGTTCATAGACATTTACCTGTTATACTACACTGCTTGTATTTGTTGCAACACATCTGCTCTCCCCTTGTCTGGCAGAAGATTACTGCCGTATGTATGCACCGACTGCGAGCATCCGCAGCCAAAAGTAGTATGAACACAAGAGGCCATGCAGATGATCATCCCCAGCCCAAAAGTGTACGCAAGTAAGTATGACCTAGGATTTACACTGATATGTTACCATACTTGTACAAAATTACAGAGCAGAGTTGCTACTGGTACTTACTGCAGGACGATTACATGATGGCTCCCGAGACTGGATCGCCACAGCTGTACTATTGAGTGGCTTTACTGCAGCAACAGCAGATCGAGGGCTCTCTGGTTCTCTCCTTTTCTGGGTAAGCTGTACTTGTGTGGCAAGCTTCATAATAGATGGCTTCACATTCAGTTTAGGTCTCACTAAAATGTACCAAAATGTCAGGAACTTTTTATCGTATCAAAACACTTTACTCATGCACAAAGTGAGAAAAGCCATTACAAGCTCTTACACATACCTTTTGGTTCAGGTAACTGCCCAGCGGACTTCTTGAGGACAACCTCCTGTGCCTGAGGCTCCACAGGAACAAGGTTATGAACTGGCAGGGGCACAGGAGGGGATCTTTTCCGCAAAGATATAAAGTTTATGGGGCTGGTGGAGGGAGGATCCACCTGTTTTTCCAGGGATGTAGACACCACAATATTCTGTTCTGCAGGAGGGACAGGTGCACTCTCTTTTTGTTTAAGTGCAATCATCTGTTGTCCACCTCCAAGCAAAGCCTTAGGCTTCGTAGAGGACTCCGGTGGTATAGAACTCCCTCCGGGTCTGGCTGCGATGAGGGATTTTCCCTTCTGTATAGCTTGTTCTTGGGCTAAGACTGAGCTGTGCTGTGATTGCAGGGAGGAGTCTACCTGCTCCATCTGCTGCTTGCGGAGTTTCTTCTCTCTCATAATCTCTTCAAAGGATTTCACATTGACATTCTCTCCTGAAGAACATGCTTTTCCGTTGGTTGCTATCATCTGCAGCAAACAATACAAAACATCAACCAGACATTCTTTCATAGCCAAGACCATATAAAACTCCTATGAGGCGTCTACCTTTATGTCAACAGTCCCTGTTGATTGCTCCATGCTTGCATGTGTCTTCTGCTCATTAATTTTAACAGCATCTACAAAGACATACATCAGACATCAGGTCTGTCAGATTTCAAACAAAATTGCAGTCCATTTTAGGTTACTTTTGGTTACTCAGGTCAGGTCAGGTTGAGGAACATGCACTGATGCAAGGAGTTGCAGCACCCACCACATGACAAAACACTTCAGGATCCCAGCTAGCGACCCCCCAGGCAGACACACGGTCCAGTCCCACCCTCCAGAAATGGCCATCCACCAACCGCAGCCAGGTGTTACATGGGCATCCCCTTGGTCTAGTCCAACCGCTTGGGTCTCAGCAACGAGCATCCTGCGAGCCGGATCACCCTCAGGGAAACGTGCCACATAGCCATAGTACTGTAACTGATGTTCCCCCGCAATGCAAGTAATATGCCTCATTCAGGACTCACCCAGCGAACGCGAAGGTCAAACCAGCGGTACCCAAGAGACATAGTACCGAAGGAGTCGGTATCACATACCCCTTTTCCAATGACCTCATGACCCCCATGCTCTCCCAATTCATCTATATACTTCATAGGAAGAGTCACCAGAGACATGAATATCGCTGCCGAGGTAAGTGAACCTCTCAACGAGGTCAACACTGTCTCCGCAGGCAGACACACTACTGATGGTTGTGCCTAAGACAGGGGTGTCCAATCTTATCCGCAAAGGGCCGGTGTGTATGCGGGTTTTCGCTGCAACTCCCTAATTAGATTACTAATTAGAGGACTGATTGGCTGAAAAGTCCTCACACCTGGGGTTGAACAGCTGACCTACAGGTTATCCCAAAAACCAGCATATACACCGGCCCTTTGCGGATAAGATTGGACACCCCTGGCCTAAGAAGTCAAAAGCCTGGATCAGAGCCTCCATTGACTCTGCAAAGATCACAGCATCGTCCGCAAAGTCAAGATCAGTAAATCTTTCTTCAACAACAGATGCCCCACAGCTGCTGGACCCCACAACCCTGCCCATGACCTAGTCCTTGCAAGCACTGAACAAAGTAAGAGTATGAACACACCCCTGGCAAACCCCAGAAACAACTGCAAAGAATGCAGAGGTTCTAGTGTGTAGGCCAGCCATGACATCCAGCAACTTCGGGGGATCCTGCAAAGTCTCAGGACATCCCTCAGGGCAGCTTGATTAACTGAGTCAAATGCTTTCTGAAAATTGACAAAGGCTGTAAAGAACATCTGCAGATACTCACGTTTATGCTCAATGAGAAACCTCAGTGCCAGGATGCAGTTGATGGTAGACTTCTTAGTCTAGACTGCTCCGGTCGCTGGTAGGCGAGCAAGTGAGCAAGGATACTGTTAAGGATGACCCAAGCAAAGACTTTACCTGGCACTGAGAGCAGTGTTATTCCTCTGTAGTTGCTGCAATACAGGCGATCACCCTTCCCTTTCCAGATATTGACAAAAAGTCCCATTTTCCAGTCATTTGGGATGTCTGTCTCCCAAACGGATACAAAGATTGCCTGCAATGCCAGGACGACAGCTGTGCCACCTGTCTGGAGAAGTTCACCCCAAATACCACAGATCCCTGCAGCATTTCCTACCCCCCGCTGATTCACCACATGTGCAATCTCAGTGAGATTGTTCTAGGGATCAGCCTCAAGAACTGTGGACCCAGAGATGTCCAACATCCAAGCCAAAGGATCAGCTTTAAACAGCTGCTCAAAGTACCTGGCCCAGAGGGTCACAATCACAAAGTCATTCGTATGGATCAATCCATCACCTGCCCTGACTGCAAGTCTCTGAGGACCAGATTCAGATGTATGTAATGCTTTGATTTCTCTAAGCAGGATGTGGGTTACTAGACCACAGATGGTGCGTCACCTGCTCACAGATTCCTCTAACAAATGCCTCATCATCTGCCCTCAGAACCCTCAGTCATCCTCCTCAGTTCCCGGTACAGATTGGAGATTCCATCAAGTTGTGCCCTGCGACTCCTCTCGATAATATCCAGGGTTCCCTGCAAGATAAACATCTCCTTCTGGGAACACAGGCAACACCAGCACAACCTTCAGGGTCTTGTCATGGACGGTCTCCCATATCATGTTAGAATCACCAGTCGTACCCAAGTCTGCAAGTTCCTCACACAAACTGCATGCAAACTCATCAGAAACAGCTTGATCTTGGAGTCTGGCCAAGGCCAGCTTCATTCTCCTAGTAGGCGGTAGCCTACTGGATCTAAGCTGAATCTTCAGAGTAGCAACAAGTCTGTGGACAGAATTCACAAACTGGGCACCTGTAGACCCTGCAGTTTTACAGGAGTCTCCAGCATCCAAGTTCAAATATGTGGCTTGGTGTTGGAACCAGGATCCAGTGACATGCAGCCCCTGATGTTTCACAAAGTCAAGGAACATGGAGCCACTCTCACCCCGGTCACGAAAATCATGGCGACAGACATAACCCTCAAAGCGAGCCCTGTCAGTACCAGTTGTTGCACTGAAGTCACCCATGATCAGGGGAGTGTCACCACTGAGCAAAGGTGCGACTAAAATGTCTCCCACAATGAGACATCACTCACTATGGTCAAAGAATACACTAAGGCAAGACACCCAAGGAGTGCCTTAGCTCGAGTCTCTCAATACGGTCATTGAAAGGAGTGCCGTAAGACAGCAATGGAATGAGTCAATCTGCCACAGCAACAGCTACTCCCTGAGTATGGCAACCATCAGAGCGACCAGACTAAAAACAGGGTGTATCCAGAGTGGTTCTAATCACTGACATTCACAGCATAGAATCACATCTTGGACCATGAAATAGGAAGTCAATTCACTTATAGCCCAGCACCGTGAATGCTACATTTTCCTTGGGTTTCACGTGTTTGCTTACCAGGCACTCTGAACAGTGTGTTGATAAAGTAACATTTTAAAAAACATTTTATGCATTAGCTGTCATTAATATAGTAAATACTGTTACTTTGTTTTTATATGTGCTCGGTGTTAACGATTATCATAATTAATAGTTATGACTAAAGGTAGCTTAGTCAGCTATCGAAGCTAACGTTCCCATTTCACTAAGGAGTTTGTCAAATTACCATTGACATGAGGTAACGTTACATATTAAGCATTTTTTTGTCTTATAAATGGGTTCATGATTATAATTAGTTGCACCGCTACCATGTTAATACACCTTAATAAAATATCAGTTAACAGCTCTTGAGGCACATGGTTCATTGTGAACATTTTTAAATTCATGGCAAAACAGCAAAAAAATGTTGTGGTAATTTATTTGCCAAAAAATACCAGGTTGCAATAAATGTGTGTATTTTTACGTGCGCTTTTTAAGTGCTGCATTTGTAAACAGCGTTCAAACAAAAAAAGCATTTTTTTCATGTTATTTTATCTCCCTCATTTACCCTTATTACCCCCACTCCCACTCTTTTTGTCCCTAGAGTGCAAGGTGTGAATGGGACATTACATAGTGGTAGTTTTTGCAATGTTTGCCCAATTTGGCTTATTTTGTGGATAAAGAATCATAATGGATTTTGACCACTGGACCCTTCAAGGTGAGTGCTCTCTACACAAGTAAATAAACCAGAAGGCCAGCCTTTATGAAACATCATACAATATTGTTGTTGCATTTTATTTGAAATGAGAAGTAAAATGCAATTTGACTGAGGCATCTTATTGCTTTGCCTTGTTACTCTGACAAATATAAAATGATCAAATCATCATATACGTCACTTTTTGTATCTTTTCTAAATAAGACTGTGCCCATACCCAACTGTAATAACGATTAAAGCGATCTGTTTTTAGTATTTGTTAAAGTGAGGTTTTTATTTTCTTGGCGTTGTGTGATTAAGATTAATTTCACAAGATTAATCATTTGAAATACTTAAATTAATGAGCACAAAAACATGACAAACACGACTGTATCATGGGTTTTATGGCTTTTTGGGGGGGTTCACAGGCTGCTGTGAGGATTTCTGACCGTCTCAATGTTGTTTCGATGCGTTAGCTGTATGCTAATGCCATTGCCCATTATCAAAGACAAAAGGTATGATACGCTGAAGTATGTCGCTGCTGGTGGTTAAAAGGTTGTCGCTGGTTCTATGGATGATAGGACCTTTCTGAAACAATCTCGGACCATGAAATAGGAAGTCAATTCACTTATAGCCCAGCACCGTGAATGCAACATTTTCCTTGGGTTTCACATGTTTGTCGTTTGTGGGCCTATACGGATTCGTCTTAGGCCACTTCTGATTGGTAAGCATGACTGGCACGCGAGAAGCATAGCACTTCTGATTGGTGAGAATGACTGATACACAGGGAGCACGGCATGAATTTGTAAAACTATTCTCACTACAGTTTTAAACAATGGGTCCAACGTACTATATAAAGTATATCTTAAATCGAAGTCTTTGCAATTTACTAATCGCGTTGTTTCAAATCGCGATTTTGATTTTAACCTGATAAATCGTCCAGCCCTAACAGGCAATAGTACATAACTGTGCACACACATGTGCCCTGCAATGAACTGGCATCCCATTCAGGCTGTACCCTAGCCTTGTGCCCTGTGTTTCCTGGGATAGGCTTCATCCCCACACGACCCTGTCCAGGATAAGCAGTTGGCAGGATGAACACCAAGGAAGCCAAGATCCTATTTAAATAGTACATAAAAGCAGAAACACTAGTACTATGATGATTGCTATACATTCTGATATGGATTGTATCAACAATCCAATGGATACCTGTAGCCATGGATTTGTTGATGCGAAGTATTCGTCTCTTGGGGAATCCTTTGTCAATAGAAGGCTGCTTCTCAGTTTGGGCATCTTGAACTTTGGCCTGCATCCGTGCTGCTTTCTCCCTGCGAATCTCGTCCAATGTCTTTACCCTGACTTCCTCCATTTTAGCCGATGCCTCATCCTGGGGACCCATATCCACAAGGATATCTTTCTTTTCTGACAACGAAGCTTCAGAATCACTGGCTATCTTCTTTGCTTCCAGTTTTTTTTTAGCATGGAAAACCTCTGAGTATTTCCAGATGTCGGGGCTGGCCAATGCCTTGCCAGGTCTTTTCAGGGGGCCAGGAGGTTTAGCAGTAGTGCAAATACTGCCTGTTCTGGCTTGCTCCTGTGATCTGCTTGCCTTTTCTTGCTTGATTTCTTCAAGGGTCTTTATCCGGATCTCTCCATGCAATTTTACATCAGTACAAGTGTCTACAGATTAAAGCAAAACACGATCAACACACAACCATTAACCAATATAAAACACAGTAGAGATGCACCGATCCGATATTCGGATTGGTATTGGCGCCGATCCAGACTTATTTGACGGATCAGAGTATCGGCCTTGCGTGACCGATCCACGTCCTATACTTACTTATTTACTTTTTTGGCAATCTCTAAAAATATAGCTCCTATTTCGTTTTAAATCTATTTGTACAATCAATCGCATGACAGCTCTTTCCCATTTTACATGTTTTTTTTTTTTTGCGGCATTCAAATCGAATGCTAACGTTGCCCCTCAGTCTTTTTTGCTACTCAGTGGGTGTGAGTTCAGTGACTTCCGCCTGCTGTGACATCATGCGCATACCCTTCGCAGTACAAGGAGCGTAAGATAAGACATGACGATATGGGAGTATTTATGCTTTTAACAGAAACCAGCGATTTGCAGTCTTCGTAAAATAAAGTTTTGAGAGGTGGGAATAGCGTTTAATGGACGATCCCACTTAAAGCACATGCAACTGTGCGAGACGAAAAAAAAGCAATAGATGATTTGGGAGTCGCTAACTTGGACTGTTCTGCGAACTTGCTGGCTTAATATACAAGAGGGGCTGCCATCGCAACAAAGTGTAACTGAGATGACGCCAATGGGAGAAAAACTTAAAATTTTAGGCATTCGCCACTTGTGTATACTTCATATTGAACTGCAAATGCCTCAAAAACGCTTAAAACAGGACGTACAAACGAGGTGGAACAATACGTTATGTATGTGTGTAGTAGCCTAATGAAATATTTTTTGTCATACATTTTTTCCATCTGTATTTACTGGCTTAAAAAAATATGTAAAGTATATGAAAGTAAAAAGAACTCTTGTATCGGAATCTGTATCGGTATCAGTAGTTGTGTATCAGAATCAGAACTGAACTGAAAAAAATGTGGATCGGGCCATCCCTAAAACGTAGTATATCAAAAAACATACCAGTTTCAGAGCAAGCAGATTCTACTGGCAACCCCAGTCGGTTTCGTACTGACTTTTGAGCTGAAGCAGAGAGAAAACAAGGACAACATTATTCTCAAAATATGTTGACTAGAGGGGGAAAGAAACCCTTTGAGGGTACAATTCCTGAACAGTTTAACTTCCTACCAAGGCGTTCCCCAAGTCGGCGTTTAAGGGGGAAGTCTGTCTCTTCTGGTTCATCTGCAAGAATAATGCCACATCTGGTCAATACTGCAGCAGGCAGATATTGACTACTTTTAAAGTTGACAGTGCTAATTTCTCAAGTAATTACCCAGGTTCCCTAACTTAATTTCTGTGAATATGGATAAATAACTGCTGTGGAGAAAGCATTTTCCAGCAAACCAGTAGCATGATTAGTACTTTTATCATGAAGATTTTCTTACTTCTGTGAAATACATTCTGTAAAAAAAAAAATTGTATTCCAAGTAGCAATACTGCTAATACTGGAAAAAAAAACACACATACATTCCACTAACTTTATATTAGGGCTGCTACGATCAAGTCAACGTAATCAAAGAGAAAGATGAAAATGTATCAACATCAATATTTTAAATTGACATCTTATTTTAATGAAATCACCTTTTTGATTTCTAAAATGTTTCAATTAATTATAACAGATGTTTCCCTTCAATATCAAATGTAATTATGGAAGTAATTCAAATTCTCACAAAAAAGATGGTTTGTACAGTTAGGTTTCGATAGCATACCACAGTGCCACTAATGCTATGCATGAGCCCCAAGAGAGAACACACAAAGGTGCTATTCTGGATGATGGACCACCAGAACAGTCAAAACCACTCTAAATGTTGTCTGTTCACATTCATTATATTGTCATTAGTAGGGAGAGCATTTCATACGTTTTGTCCTTGTGCCTGCCATATATATACCCATTATTAAAGGATATAAAAATATATGCCTGCTACCTTAAACATTTCTGAAACACTTATTAAATGGAAATTCTATGCTACAATCTGAGCTTATTATATGTTGATGGTACAGATGTGTGTTTGTGTGCATTGGGCTTGAAGGAACCAAAACCTGTTGGACTTTAAACTGCTAAAAGTATTGCAACACCACCACCGTTTTTTACTTTGTTTAACCACAAGATCTCCTCTTAAAAGATATTGTCCCTTTTGGGCATCACAATACACCTCCCATCAACATTTTAGGAGTACAGTGGTACCTCGGTTCTCGAACTTAATCCGTTCCGGACTCCGGATCGAATCCTAAAAGCATTTTTTTCTTAATGACTTCCAAAACGATCAAGATCTTATCCCAACATTACCCCTGTCCTGCCCTGATCGTCCGCTCCTTCCATGTGCCACGCCCCCTCGTTAACCTCGTGTGGGATCCCCATGTGATCAGCTGTTTCTGGTTGTTGTCATTAGTCCTCTGTATTAAGTCCGCGTTTCAGTTTGTTTCCCCAGTC